GCTTAAGTGTCACACAATACTTCAACAGTTTGATAAAGTATTATCTACAATTTGATATGTTTGAGGCAGATGTATGAAAATATCCACATGATGTCACGCTATTTAAATCCATCATCAAGAAGAAAGGAACTGTCATATTACTACTAGGATTAACTCGAGAATTGGATTAGGTGAGAGTGAGGATCAAGGAAATAAAGCCTCTTCCATCTACTTGTGAAGCCTTGATTGAATTCAAGTAAGAAGAGAGTAGAAAGAAGCTGATGCCGACTAGAAATGGATGTTTACCAAGTGCTGAAAGCTTGGCGCGGTATGCTTATGATTCTTCCCATGACTCAAACCACAAGAAGAATTGTATCACATGTGACTATTGTAAGAAGTTTGGTCATCTCCAAGGCATGTTGGAAGCTTCATGGAAAGCCTACAGACCGGAAACATGGATAGGGAAGGAAAGATTAAGAGAAAATAGCTAATGTTGCTACCACATGTCATGGTTCAGTTGAGCCATTCACCAAGGAACAATTTGAAGTACTGAAAAGACTTCTTTGATTGGATGCAAGATTTGTTTACTAAAGGAGATAGAGATGATTAGATGCAAGCTTTGTTAGTACTCTAACGGACGGATCCCAACAAAAACTTTAACATGGGAGAAAAAAAATTGAATATATGGATAAGGAAAGATATCAAAGTTTTGTAGGAAAGTTCATCTAGCCGCCACATACAAGGCTAGATATTGTATTCTCTGTCAGCATTGTAAACCAACACATGAATAACCTAAATGAAGAGTATTTGGAGATAGTGTACAAAATTTTTAGATTTCTCAAGAAGACTCATGGCTATAGACCAAAAATAGAGGTAGAAGTCTACACTGATGCGAGATGTGTTGGAGAACTCGCTAACAAAAAATTCACAGGTTATTGCTCTGATATATGTGGAAATCTTGTTACATGGAGAAATAAGAAGCAAGTTGTTTCTAGAAATAGTGTTGAATCAGAGTATAGGGAATTTGCCTTGGAATCTCTGAAAGGATCTGACTTAAAAAATTGTTAAAGGAATTGGGGTGCCCTCCAATAAGCCTATGCAAATGTGTTGTGGCAGTCAATCAACTATTAGTATTGTCAAGAATCATGTGCATCATGACAAAACCAAGCATATTGAAGTTGATAGACACTTTATCTCTGAAAAGGTTAATGTGAGAATTATATAACTAAGCTACATCCCGACACACAGACAAGTTATTGATGTCTTCACTAAAGCTCTTCCTTTAAGCATCTTCTCAATTCAATACAATGTTTTCTCTCTATTACATTTACAACCTAGCATGAGGGGACTAAAATTTTGAGAAGGATTTCGGCTGTAGGGGGGACCGGTCGGTCTCCATATAGATCATGAGGGTTTTGATTAGGAGACTGTTTTTGGAAACACCCTGATCAGTTGTTATTACCTTTCTATTTTATTTCTTTATTGTTATTTAAGAATTAGTTTTGTTCCTATTTAGATCAGATATATTTGGTAATTTTGTAAATTATGAGGTATTGGTTGCTCTCTCTCTCTCATAGTATTATATATATATATATATATAT